AGTGCGACCCTGACGGCCAGCGTACCACTCACGAAGCTGCTGTGGGGAGAGAGGGAGTCGACGACAAGAGTGCAGCGGCGAGGCACCAGCGGTGCGACTACGCAGACGTCCGCTCCAGGGAGACTGCTCACCAGACGCCTCAGCGCCTCCAGGTGCAGAACCCCCAGACTCAGTACTCCCAGGCATAGCACCCCCAGACTCCTCACACCCAGGCTCAGCACCTCCAGTCTCCGCACCCCCAGGCTCCGCACCTCCCGGCTCCGCACCCCCAGGCTCAGCACCCCCAAAAGCAGCACCCCGAGCAGGACCACCCTCAGCAGGACCTGAGTCACCAGTGACCTCAACCGGCGCAGTCAAGGGGGGAGGGTCTACCTGAGACACACCTGAGGGAGCAGGACCGGGAGCGGGGAGGGGGTCTACCTGGGGAGCACCTGGAGCGAGGAAGAGCGGCGGGGGGGGGGAGAGAGGGGCACTGCAGTAGGGGAAGAGACGGTAAACGGGAACCGACTCGTCGAACGTGACGTCCTGAGAGGGAAAGACACGGCGCGAGGTGGGGTGGTAAGACTGCCAACCAGGCGCGTCAGGGACAAAGCTAAGGAAGACACAGGGAACAGCGCGGCAGAGAGCTTGCGGTAGACGGAGGGAGCGGGGGGGGGGGGGGGGGGGGCAGGAAGGGCCCGCGCGGGTCCCCTAAGGCGCCGCGACGAGCGACGGGATGGCGGGGGGGGCGTGCGCGGGTCCCTCAGGGCGCCGCGACGGGCGATGGAATGGCGAAGGGGGGCGCGCGCGGGTCCCCCAGGGCGCCGCGACGGTTAGGGTACCGCCGCACGCCTCGGGGCGCGCGACGGGCAGGGCACCGTCGCACGCCACGGGGCGCGCGACGGGCAGGGCAGGGCGTCGCGCGGCCAGCAGGGCGGCGCGACGGGCAAGGGAGAGCCGTGACGGGCGCACGGCGGGAAGAAAAAACGCCGCACGCCACGAGCACGCGGCAAGCAGAAAGCGTCGCGCGCCCAGGGCGTGCGACAGGCAGTACAGCAGCGGAAGCATTGGGTGGGCCCATCCACAGGATCGACCAGGGAAGGTCGACCTGCTCTGAAACCATGTGAAAGATAGAAACGAGGAATGAACAGAAGAAGAGGCGTTTCACTAGCAGGCAGTTGAGTACATATAGCAAACCCTAACAGGGTTGTACTCACTATAGAGTACCCCACTGCAGACTACAGAAATATAACATTCTGACAACGGTTTGCGTCTGATTGCCTCTGATCTGGTCGGGTCTGATCTGATCGTTTTGCCCCTGATTGCATTGCTCGCGCCGCCCGATCAGTCAAGATATTCCTCGAAAATTCGAGAAGGTTATAAAGCAAGCGTGCCACCCTTTCCTGAAAATTTCGTTTCTACTTTGGCGAGGGCGAAGGCCACAGCAAGGATCTAGCGAAGCTCAATGTTGCCCTGTTAGGGCGTATCCATGGGTGGTGGCAGGGCCACTGTAGATGGCAGGCGAGTAATGCGGATGCCACGAATCTGTATAACGGCAGGTTGGTGTCACAAAATTGCCGCGCATAAGATGCACGCCGATTGGTCAAACGAACCTATCGCATGGTTGGGTTGGGTCACACGGTCCACCCACCACATCGCATATCCCTATCTCCCTCGCAATTTGGGCTCGCACACTCCACGATCGAGCTCCCACGTGCCGGTAAAATTCCCTGCCCACCAAATGCTGCCATTGGTCGGGACGTGCCAGACCCCTCCTTTGAGGGTCACCCAACTTCACAGCATCGGCGTGGCGGAAAATTAATCACCACCTCCTCCAGATCTAGATCTACTTTACGCATGTTGTGAACCTCCTGAAAACCACACTCCACGCGACAGTGCAGTTCCTTGAGCAAGTTTAGAACCGCTTCGTCATCATACCCCCTCATAAGCAGAGAGACCGTGGTAAGGGAAAGGCGAAGGTAGATGATGAAGAGCCATGGGAGGATCCACCATACGTCAAGTGGATGAAGGAGCAGTGCGAGGACGACAACACGCGTGGTAAAATAAAGCGGGAAGCAGCACCCAGGCGTGACGGGGCCGGCCCGAGCTCAGCGCGTGGCACCCACGCAGACAACTCTGACGCCGGCGGTGACACCGACGTAAGCGATGACGATCTCGAGGAGATCGCCTCCTCTACTGGACCCGAGGACGACTCCGATAACTCAAACGCGAAGAGAAGTAGCGACGAGGAGGAGTCTGACGCGGAGCCCGCTGCCTCCGAGGCGGGCCCGAGCACACGCAAGCGCAAACGTGGTGCGAAATCTAAGCGCCTGTGGAGCGATGAAGAGCTTATCGCACTGGCCGCCGCTAAGTGGTACACCCGCGACGATCTGAAGCAGATGCGTGGCAAACAGGTCAATCAATATTGGAAGAAGCTCCGCGCACACATGAAAAAGAGCGGCGCAAAGTGGACGCGCAACAACACCGCCATGCAACTGTCAGAATGTTATAATTGTCTAGCCTGCAGTGGGGTACTCTATAGCGAGTACAACCCAATTAGGGTTTCCTATATGTATGCCAACTGCTGCTAGTGCAACTCCTCTTCTCTTCTTCATTCCTTGTTCTTTCACATGCTATCAGAGCATCTACGCCCCTGGCCTGTGGGCCCACCTAACTGCTTCCGCTGCTACTCTGTGTGCTACTCTTAGCGGCCCCGTCGCCGCCCTTCTCGGCCCCTCGCGGCCCCTTCGCGGCCCCGTTGCCGCCCTTCCAGGCCCCTTCGCGGCCCCGTCGCCGCCCCTAGCGGCCCGTCGCCGCCCTTCCAGGCCACTCGCGGCCCCTTCGCGGCCCCGTCGCCGCCCCTTACGGCCCCGTCGCCGCCCCTTAAGGCCCCGTCGCCGCCCCTTACGGCCCCGTCGCCGCCCCTTACGGCCCCGTCGCCGCCCCTAACGGCCCCGCGACTGCCCCTTACGGCCCCGCCGCCGCCCCTTAAGGCCCCGTCGCCGCCCCTTACGGCCCCGTCGCCGCCCCTTACGGCCCCGTCGCCGCCCCTTACGGCCCCGTCGCGGCCCCTAACGGCCCCGCGACCGCCCCTTACGGCCCCGTCGCCGCCCCTTAAGGCCCCGTCGCCGCCCCTTACGGCCCCGTCGCCGCCCCTATCAGCCCCGTCGCCGCCTCCAGCGGCCCCGTCGCCGCCACTTGCGGCCCCGTCGCCGCCCCTTTCGGCCCTGCCTCGACCCTGCCCTGGCCCCGCCCCGGCCATGCTCCGTCGCCTGTCGCGGCGCACCGGGGGCCTGTGCACCGCCCCCCCCCTCTTTTCCCGTCACCTGTCGAGGCGACCTGAGGGGGCCGCGCGGGGGGGGGGGGGCGAGCGTCGCCTTTTCTGCCGCCTGTTTTGGCGCCCTGGGAGGCCGCGCGTCGCCCCCCCCCCCTCCCCCCCCCCCCCCCCCGTAACCTCCCTACCCGCCGTCCCGTCCTGCCCTGTGTTAGGGTCTGGGGGTGGCGAGTAGGGGGTGGCGGGTGTGTGGTCTCCCCTGCTCCTCCTCCTCCTCTGTCTCCCACTGCTGCAGCTGCCGCTGAGGGGGGTGGGTGTGTGGGAGTCGACGGAGTGGTGCCAGGGGGTGGGGTGTGAGTGAACCTAGGGTGCAGCAAGGGGTGTGTGAAAGGGGGGTGCTGTGGGAGTGGAACTAGGGTTTGAGCAGGGGGTGTGTGTCGAGGGTGTGGGGCAGCTGGAGGAGGTTGTGTGAAGGTAGATGTCGTGTCGCCTGCAGCGCCTATAGTCCGTCGCCCTTGCTTCGGTAGCCAGTGAGCCTGTTGCACCAGTCGCCAGTGGGTCCGTTGCTCCTGCCGCTCGTCTATAGCCGCGGAGCCAGTTACTCCAGTAGTCCGTCGCCCTTGCTTCGGTAGCCACTGAGTCAGCCGCTCCTGTGCCCGTGCCTCTGCAACTTCAGTCGTTGCCTCCCATCTTCTCTCCCTCCACAGTTCCTCCTCCTCCTCACTTGCCCGCTGTGATTAACTCTAGCTTTGCTCCCTATTGTGAACTCCTGCTCTATGCCTGCTTGCTCACTGTGCTGATTACACCCCACTTTGGCTATGGGGGTGTGTCAGAATGTTATAATTGTCTAGCCTGTAGTGGGGTACTCTATAGCGAGTACAACCCAATTAGGGTTTCCTATATGTATGCCAACTGCTGCTAGTGCAACTCCTCTCTCTTCTTCATTCCTTGTTCTTTCACAGCAACACGCTTGGAAGCGCATCGAGGCAGAGTACCGCGACACTCTCCGCCACAACGGCACGCCAGGGAACAAGCCCAAGCGGAAGAAACCCTGGTTCGAGTATGTTTACCTCATGAAGAAGCTCCCTGCCAACGTTAAGCCGCACGTGGTGGACGGTGGCGGAGAAGGAGAGACACACGCTGACCCTGGAGCAGCAATTCGCGACAATGCCGGCATGAGTGATGGTGGAATGGTGACGCCAAGGACCAATCCCCATGATCGCCAAGTCCGTCAGGCCGGTGGCCTTGAAAGTAAGTGTGTATTCGATTACGTCCGTGCTATCCCGTTTACCATTCGAGTACCTCTTGCATGTGTTGGCCACATTTTATGATGCTTTTGATTATAACAATAACCTTGCATGACAAAAAAAGCTTGCTACATGGACCCTACACCTCCACTCTCCTGTGCAGGCACCCCTTCACCCCTCCCTCCCAAGCGATCTCGTGTCAACAAGACTGCCAGCATGGCGGCCGCGAAAGTTATCGCGGATGCAATCACAACATGCAATGGTCAGGCGTTGCGGCAGCTAAGCGACACGGTGCAACTCCTCGTGACAGCCATCCACATGGCTGCCACGCTGTGGAGGGCTCCTCCTCCACAACCCCAGAATGTGGCGCCGTCGCCGCCCGCCAATGCGCACGCCCTCACGGACACGCCGGTACATGAAGAATCTCCCGCCTTAGGCGGAGAGGCCGGCAACGTTCCCCTGGATGAGGACGATGAGGCGCGCGATGACATGCATTCGGCCTAGTCACGCTCAAGGCGCCACGGGCGGTGCCTCCTGAGGTAAGCACGATGCATGTGCTTCCCAAACTGCTTCCTCCGCTTGCGCAAATCGGCATGTCCAGCACTTTCAGCATCACGCCAGGCATAGGACCTCATGCCACTCCTGTGGTACCACGGTGGACCGATGCCCGTCCACTTCCTCCACTGATTCTTGATGGTACGGTTCCTTGGCTCGTCGGTGCGCAGAATCATGCTATGCATGATGATGATGCACGCAGTCCCCGCACACACGCGCGACAACTTGCTCTCGTGTCGCCGGCCGAACAGACACCACCTCCCCTTCAGCGCACCAATGGTCCGCTCCACAACCATGCGGGTGGCGGAATGGACGTAGTTATACGTCTGCTCCCAGCTCTTCATCAGGCGCTTGCGGGTAGCGTTCACAGGAGTGAGGCAGTAGCTGCGCAGCGGGTAGGCAGCATCACCGACGATCTGGTACGGTCCGAGGTCCCCACGCTCGAGGCGGGCGTGCAGTTCGGACTGCTGGAAGACGCCTTGATGATGCATAGATCCCGGGTGACCAATGATGTAGTCCCAAACAATCCCCTTGCTGTTGCATGTAACCTGTTGTAATACTCGTGCCTGTCATTCTCCATCCCCCTTATCTCGATTTGTGTCCCATCAATTGCTCTAATAACATTCGGCACCCCCCGTACTTCCTTGAAGTCGGATGCCATCTCCTCCATCTCATCTGCAGTAGGAAAGCGGACCCAGGTCTTCTTGAACCTTCGGAGGAAGTGCATGAGAAAGGCCTCGACTATACGATGCACAATGGTCTTGGGCAGGCCGAGGTAGAGGCCCAGGTCGATGAAGGTCATGGCGCTGGCAAAGTACTTGATAGGGATGAGGACGCAAAGGTCGAGCGGGATCCCGAGCTTCTCAACAAAGTGGCTCATGGGGAGGGCCATAACAGGTGCAATGTACTCCAGCAGTTCAGGCGAGATGCGGAAGACGTTGACAAAGTCATCGTCCTCCATAATGCGCAGCTCAGTCACCCATTCCGCCATGTGTCGTTCACGGCGCTCCTTCCGCTGACGTTGGCGGCGTTCGATCCTCCGGCGCTCTTCAACGGAAGCCTCATTGTCCCGAGCTTGCGTAGCCCCTTGCATCGCGATCTACTGCAGTGCACCAATGGCCACTATTCGGTTGAAGCTCTCTAGATAGAACCCATATAATAGGTGCACCGCACTGTAGAGCAAGAGACCATCCAGAGGGGACATGTGAGATGGACTTCGCAGATGACGAAGACGCGCCTCTGGATTGTGCTGTGACTGGCTTTGGACCCCTTCTTTTAGCGGCGGGGTGTTGGCAGCGCGGCACGCTGAGCGTCGCGGCCGTTGTCCTGTAAAGTAGACTTGCATCTCCTTGACCATGTGCGGGGTGTTTTTATAGTTTGCCAATTTGCTATTTAATCCAACCACTTCATGCTTGCCAATTTACAGGCCTTGCATGAGTGGCAAGTTTACCAGTTGCCCGTGCTGCTGTCAATGACCGCACATGGTTGTAACCGGTTTGACATTTGGATTGGTATCGCACGCTGGCAGTGATTGGCCGTTGCTTTTTGTGTGAGACTGTTGCACAATATGTTGTGCTTGCCACGAACTGCAAGCCGCCCGCGGTTCGGGCACAATGTTGATGGCATGCGGTTTTCCCGCATGGCACCAACAGTGCCTGCTACAGTGGCCCTGCCACCACCCAGGGATACGCCCTTAAATCGCGTAAACATTTGTGCAGGAGCACGATCTTGCCACGGTGATTGTTTGAGCGAGGTCTCAAGAAATCTAGCGAAATAGTGTAACTTTTCGTTGATGTCGCTTGGTACCCCAAACCAAAGCAATCAACTGATCGTCGGTGATTGTGTTGCGTTGTGTTTGATTGGGCTGTTTTAGGCGGTTGATCGAGTTGGGGCGATCAGCTGATCGCGATCAACTGATTGCTCCCGATTGCCTGAAATCGCCTCCCTAGCTTCCTGGAATTTGTTGATCGCCTCTGATCGAGGCAATCAGAGGCGAACCGTAACACGTCCTTAATCAATCTAAGTCAGTACACCTTAGGGAGTATTCCTAGCTTCGTGTAATCCGCTATTCGTGTCATCCGAAATTGTGGGAAGACACGAGCTGTAATACAGCAGCTCATGTCAACACGTCAAATATGCTGGCGAAATGTTTAGGAATAAATTTTGATGGATACCATTGATCGTGACTCTCGTCAAATTGAGTTGCGATCGCCAGAGCAAGCTGGCGAGCTACAGCGACTACAGTGCGACCAAATTTGTTACTCCAATGTTTAATGTTGCTCTTCACATTGAATGAATTTCGTCGCGCTACCAGAAAAATCGCACAGCTGCTCGAATATTTTTTTTTCTTACTAAACTCAATTTCGAACACACTGTTCGCCGAAGCTCGCCACATCCCAAGTCGGAAAACTTGAAGTTCGAGCCGGAAACCCCGCAGTTCGTAAAAATAATTTCGGGATGACACAAAGCCAGGAATACGCCCTTATTCTCCCGGTTGAAAGACCGGGGGTCTCCCGGGGGTCTTCTGTTAGAATAGTAGGCACAAGTAGGAGCCATAGCTAGGGTTTACCTAGCTAGGCAAGAGAGGAATGAGCAAAGGAGAGTTTGCACTAGCAAGCAGGTGGATACAAATAGGAAACCCTAAGGGGCTGTACTCGCTATAGAGTACCCCACTGCAGGCTAGACAAGCATTATATTCTGACACACCCCCATAGTCAAAGTGGGGTATAATCAGTACAGCATGCAGGCATAGAGCAAGAGTTCACAATGATAAGCAAAGCTAGAGGCTATCACAGAGGGCAAGTGAGGAGGAGGAGAGGCTGTGGGGGAGAGAAGATGGGAGGCGACTGCTGAAGCTGCAGACACACAGGAGCTGCTAGCTCAGTGGCTACCGAAGCAAAGGCCCGGACTACAGGAGTAACTGGCTCCGCGGAGATTGCAGCCTCCAGACCGGAGCAACTGACCCACAGGCGACTGGCGACTACCGGAGATTGTAGCCTCCGGACTGCTGGTGTTGTTGGCGACACGACTGCTGCCTCCACTCAACCTCCCCCAGCTGCCCCACTCCCCTCTCACACACCCCCTGTTCAAACCCTAGCTCCACTCCCACAGCACCCCCCTTAAACCCTAAACCCTAGGCTCCCACACACCCACCCCCCTCAGCGACAGCTGCAGCAGTGGGAGACGAGGGAGGAGGAGGAGCAAGGGGAGGAACACACAACCGCCACCCCCACACCCGGCACCAACACCCCAACCACCGCGAAAAGCACGGGGGGGGGGGGGGGGGGGGTGGTCGGGGGGGGGACGGGACGGGCTGCAAGGACAGGCCGCGGGCTGCCGCAGGGGCGGCTCGCGCTGATCCTGGGGCGGCTGCTGCAGGCGCGGGCTGCTCCAGGGGCGGCTGCTGCAGGTGCGGGCTGCTCCAGGGGCGGCTGCTGCAGGTGCGGGCTGCTCCAGGGGCGGCTGCTGCAGGTGAAAGGGAGGAGGGAGGGGGGAAAGAGGAGCGCGGCCCCCAGGGCGCCCCGACGGGCTACGGGAGGGGCCGCGCACGGGCCCACGTGGGCGGCTCGACGGGCAACGGGAGGGGCCGCGCGCAGGCCCCCAAGGCGCCGCGACGAGGCGACGGTTGGGGCCGGCGCGCGGGCCCCCAAAGCGCCGCGACGAGGCGACGGGAGGGGCCTGCGTGCGGGCCCCCAAGGCGCCGCGACGAAACGACGGGAGGGGCCGGCTCGCGGGCCCCCAAAGCGCCGCGACGAGGCGACGGGTGGGGTCTGCGTGCGGGCCCCCAAAGCGCCGCGACGAGGCGACGGGAGGGGCCTGCGTGCGGGCCCCCAAGGCGCCGCGACGAATCAGGAAACCGCCGCGCGCCTCGGGGCGCACGGCGGGCAGAAAACCGCCACGCGCCCCGAGCGCGTGGCGGGAAGAAAATCGAAGGTCGCGCGCCACGGGGCGCACGACACACAGTAGGGCAGCGGAAGTAGGTGGGCCCACAGGCCAGGAGCGTAACCGCTCTGATAGCATGTTAGAATAGTAGGCACAAGTAGGAGCCATAGCTAGGGTTTACCTAGCTAGGCAAGAGAGAAATGAGCAAAGGAGAGTTTGCACTAGCAAGCAGGTGGATACAAATAGGAAACCCTAAGGGGCTGTACTCGCTATAGAGTACCCCACTGCAGGCTAGACAAGCATTATATTCTGACAGCTTCTCCCAAATCTGCTAAAAATGGATTGTGGAGATTGTTGACCCCTAGACATGTATAGATCACGAAAAAAAAAGGGGGGGGGGGGGGGGGGGGGGGTTAAAGAATTGTGTTGAAGAATTTTATTTTTTCTTTTGCGAACTCGGGTTTGGCTCAAAATGAGGAGTCTCATCACAATTTTTCGCGCATCAAAATATGCCACGCGTCACACATGAGCGCATCATGGTGGCAACACTAGGCGGTGCTGGCGCCGCGCCATACCTTTTGACTGTGATGGTGACCATTCATCTATCCCACCATCAAATTCAATGAATCGGAAAGGTAATGGGTTCGACAACGTTCTTTCGTGCACTGCTGTCGTGCACTGTCAGAATATTATGATTCTCTAGTCTGCAGTGGGGTGCTCTATAGTGAGTACAGTCCTATTAGGGTTTGCTATATGTATCCCAATGTTTGCTAGTGAACTTCTCCTCTCTCATTCATTCCTGATTCTGACATGGTATAGAGCAGGTTCCCTACTGGGACCGATCCTCCCCAAGGGCCCACCACTTACAACTTTTTTTTTTTCCTAACCTGCCCGAAGCGCCCTTCGTGCTCGGCCTGCCCTACCCTTTCGCGGCCCCTTAGAGGCCTACCCTGCCCTTTGCGGCCCCTACGCGGCCCCCCTTTGCGGCCCCTTAACGGCCCCGTCGCGGCCCCCTTTGCGGCCCCTTCACGGCCCGGTCGCGGCCCCCCGTCGCGGCCCCCCGTCGCGGCCCCCCGTCGAGGCCCCCCGTCGCGACCCCCCGTCGCGGCCCCCCCCCGTCGCGGCCCCCCGTCGCGGCCCCCCGTCGCGGCCCCCCGTCGCGGCCCTGTCGCGGCGCTGCCCCGGCCCTGCCCCGTCGCCCGCCGCGGCCCTGTCGCGGCCCTGCCCCGGCCCTGTCGCGGCCCTGTCCCGGGTCTGTCGCGGCCCAGTTGCGGCCCTGTCGCAGCCCCGCCCCGGCCCTGCCCCGTCGCCTGTCGCGGCCACGTCGCGGCCCCGTCGAGGCCCCGCCCCGGCCATGCCCCGCACTGGGGACCCGTGCACCGCCCCCCCCTCTTTTCCCGTCGCCCGTCGCGGCTCCCTGGGGGGCCGCGACCTGGGGGAGGGGGCTGCGCGTCGCCCCTTCTGCCGCCTGTTCTGGCGCCCTGGGAGGCCGCGCGTCGGCCCCCGTAACCCCCCCCCCCCCCCCCGTAACCTCCCTACCCGCCATCGCGCCCTGCCCTGTGTTCGGGTTTGGGGGTGGCGAGTAGGGGGTGGCGGGTGTGTGGTCTCCCCTGCTCCTCCTCCTCCTCTGTCTCCCACTGCTGCAGCTGCCGCTGAGGGGGGTGGGTGTGTGGGAGTCGACGGAGTGGTGCTAGGGGGTGGAGTGTGAGTGAACCTAGGGGTGCAGCAGGGGGTGTGTGAAAGGGGGGGTGGGATAGTTTGGGGAGGTTGAAGGGGGGTGGCCGCCGTGAAGCCCGCAGCTCCAGTCGCCCGTGAGACCGTTGCGCCAGTCGCCCGTGAGCCCGTTGCGCCAGTCGCCCGTGAGCCCGTTGCTCCAGTCGCCCGTGAGTTCGTTGCTCCTGCCGCTCAGAGTTAGCTGCGGAGCCAGTTACTCCAGTAGCCCGTGTGCCAGTTGCTCCAGTTGCCAGTGTGCCAGTTGCTCCAGTTGCCAGTGTGCCAGTTGCTCGAGTTGCGCCGTGTGCTAGCAGCTTCAGCTGCCGCCCACTACCTCCTCTCCTCTCATAGTCCCTCCTCCTCCACACTTGCCCTCTGTGATAGCCTCTAGCTTTG